AATGCTGGGCTGGGGGCACCTGGAGTCTTCCATTCTGGGTTCACTGGGCCTTTATGGGCAGGGGCAAGGCTCGTTGCAGCCCCTTTATAACTCCTCAATGGGCCAGTGAAGAAGTGGAAACAGAGAGGTTGAGTGACTTGCCCAGCTTCCCACAGCTCAGCAGCCCAAGATGGATTTTTTTTTTTTTTGAGGTGGAGTCTCCCTCTGTCACCAGGCTGGAGTGCCCTGGTGCAATCTTGGCTCAATGCAACCTCCACCTCCAGGGTTCAAGAGATTCCCCTGCCTCAGCCTCCTGAGTAGCTGAGACTACAGGCACATGACACCACGCCTGGCTAATTTTTTTGAATTTTAGTAGAGATCAGGTTTCACCATGTTGGCCAGGATGGTCTCGATCTCCTGACCTGGTGATCTGCCCACCTTGGCCTCCCAAGTGCTGGAATTACAGGCCTAAGCCACTGTGCCCAGCTCCGAGATTGAACTCAATTGGAACGCCGCTTCCTCTGACTTCAGAGTTGGGGCTGTCCTCCCTGGCAGAAGCATGCCAGTGACCCATGACGATGGAAGAGTGAGGCCGTTTATCCAGGCCACCCTGCCTCAGGGACTTAGCACTCCCCTCCCTCTGCCTGCCTTCTCATTCCTCAGCTTGGGCTGTGGCTGTTGTCACTGGTGTGTGAGTGACACTCACCGTCTTCAGATAGACCTTTCTTGATCACTCCGTTTAGTTCCCCCATCACCCTGCTCTGTTTTCTTCCAGGTACTGATTATTAGCTGAAAGTGTCTTTTCTGTTTAATTCTGGTCCCCTTATTGTCCCCCCCCCCCCACGCCATCCCGTATTTCTCGAGGGCAGTGATTCCATTGCCCTTCCTGACACCTGGAACCAGGAAAGCACGTAGGGCTGTGGCTAATGGTTGTTGAATAAGTTCATTCATTCATTCATTCATTCATTCCATCCTCCCCACTGTAGTTCCACAGGGGGGAGGCACCTGCATCCCCATCAGGATGCCTGACTTGCTTAAGGTCACTCTGCTGGACTGAGAGCCAGCCACATAGCAAGTCAGCCGTCCAGATCTGGGCAGGCCTGGCTAAGAGAGCATGTGGTCTCCTGGACCTTGAACTCCAGAGCCCAGGCGGTGTCTCTGAGGTGGGTCCCAGGGTGCCACTGCATCGCTCTCGTGCTCTGCTGTTTTGTGAACCGGGTGTAAATGCTTCCTAGCTCAAAGCTGTTTGGGGAATGCCTCGCCTCTTCCGAGGATGGGCTGCAAGGCGGAGAATGCTCGCCTTCTCCCGTGGTGGCTAACGTGATGCTGCTGCGGCTCCATAAATATTAAATGGGCATTAAAAAAAGGCGCTACATTTCCTGTTTCCCGGATTTCTCTGAGCAGGGCCTATTGTGAACCCCCTTTATGTGAAATGCAGCATTTCACCACGGAGCACCTCCGGGAGCCTTGCCACCCGCCTTTCCCGGCTCAGTTCCTTTGGTGCAGAGCCGTTCTCCCTGGACTGCAGGCTCGTCTGCATGCTGGCACCTGCTTTTCTGGGGCAAAGACGGGTGGGGGCCCCTGGAACCCCCTTTCACAAGGGCTTTGCCAGCCTGGCAGCCTCCCTTCTGCATATGCAGTGGGTAAGATGGGGAGCGGGCAGTGACTCTTTAGTCTTCAGCTGAGCTCTCCCGATACCCACCCTCTGCCAGGCCTGTGCTGGGCACCAGGGAAAGTCTCCAGAAACTCTGCACATCCTTCCGACCTCACATCATTTCTGCATCCATCCCTCCATCCATCCATCCATTCCTTCCTCCATCCATCCATTCCTCCCTTCATCCATCCACTAATACTATCGATGAAGTGTTTGTGATAGGCCATGGGGTAATCACCTTATAAAAATAATATTAGCTAACATTTATTGAGCACTTACTGTGGGTGCTATGCAGCAGACCTATAAGTGGGGGAGTGCGGGCCTGCACCCCTCCCATAAGCAGGGGCTCAGAGTCACAGAGCTGGGGGGGGAGCTGGAGCTGACACATGGAGCACACGGGGGTGGGGGACAGCACTGCCATCAGGGGACATCCAGGCTCTTCCTGGGACCCTGGAATTAAGATACCGAGGAGCTACTGGCATTGTGGGGAGGAAGGGTGTCAACTTCAGCCAGCAGGAGAGGAGGGTAGAGCCGGGAGCCAGGCAGCTATGTCTGGGGCTCAACCCTGCCACCTCCTCTCTGCACAATGAGATGTCACTTCTGTGGGATGCACCTTCATCATTATAAAACGTGAGACATGGGCATCAATATCTGTCTCTTATGGTGAGGATGGCAGAGGAAGACCCTCGAAAGTGTTAGAATTGTGTGGCTCTGAACGAGAGCATGGCCCTGTGAGCTGTAGGCCTCCAGGTGAAAGAACCCACGGGGACCGGCCTGTGTGGCCCAAATGGAGGCCAGACACATAGTAGGGCCAGACCACTCAGGGTCTTATGGTCAAGGGAGCTGATCAGGGAAGCCAGAGCAAGGATTGCAAGCCGGGATGTGATGCAGTCAGCTTGCATTTGAGAAACAATTGAGCTCTCCAGGGCCTATCATGCACCCCCAGCTCCTGGAATTGGCCCCTGGGTTTGCACTTGATGCCTTGGAACCAAGGGTGCCCAGTACTCAGGCAGTGCCCGCTGCCAACAACTTCTCAATATGCAGGGATCAAATTGAACAGAACAGTGATTGTGATCATCACAGCCGAGGTGAGCGGGCACATGGGACCTGCCAGGCTTCGCACTCAGGATTCTTGCTTATGTCTCCATTTAACCTGCATAGCCCCAGGAGGTGGCGTTACTAATGCCACATCCATTTTCTTTCTTTCTTTTTTTCTTTTTTTTTGAGATGGAGTCTTACTCTGTCACCCAGGCTGGAGTGCAGCAGTGGTGCTATTTCGGCTCACTGCAACCTCTGCCTTTCGGATTCAAGCAGTTCTCCTGCCTCAGCCTCCCAGGTAGCTGGGATTATAGGCATGCACCGTGGTGCCCAGCTAATTTTTGTATTTTTACATACAAAAATGTTGTATGTAATATTTTTTTTGTAATATTTTGTAATATTTTTACATACAAAAATGTTGAGGGCGGAGGGGGCAGGGTTTCACCATGTTGGTCAGGCTGGTCTCGAACTCCTGACCTCAGGTGATCTGCCCAATTTGGCCTCCCTAAGTGCTGGGATTACAGGTGTGAGCCACCGCATCGCACCTTAAATGCATTTTAAGAAGAGGAAGCTGGAGGTTCAGAGAAGTTAGGAAGTTGGCTTAAGGTCACACAGCAAGTCAGCTCTGCTGGGGCTTGACTCCTGTCCAGATCTGGGCAAGCCTTGCTCAGAGCATGCGGAGTCCTGGACTTTGGCATCTGGAACCCTGAGACCTTACCCAGGGCTTCTGGGTGCTGGGCAGTAGTTATGGACGGGAGGGGCACAGGCCCCTACTCCTGCACTTACAGGTCTGCTGCATAGCACCCACAGGGAGAGCCAGTTCACTTACAAACAACCCACAGGACCAAACAATGGTGCAAATGTGTCCCAAGGAGAAATATTTTTTCCCCCACCCCGTCTTCCTGGGTGGGGAGAAGAGGAGTATGTGTTGGGAATCAGGATGTGTTTTTAGGGGTAGGTGGGAGAGAAGGAGGATATTGCTATTTATTTCACCTTCTAGGGAGACGATCAAGATTTTTAAAAAAGTTAATAACCCGTTTCTCCTTTGCACATAATTAAAATGTTCTCCAGTCTCTAATTTTTGTCATTTTCCTAATCTAATTTGTTTTCTGACTGTGTCGATTCTTCTTCCAAGCGCAAAGCAGAGGAGGTTGTTCTTCATTTAGCGTGATTGCGAAACTACTGTCCAGGAGTAGTTTAAATGATGTGATTTTCTCCTTGGTTAAATGCAGTGCAAAAGGAATCGTCGGAGGGTCTTAACGACCCAAACTGAAAACAACCACAGAAAATCTTCACGGCATTTCCCATGTCCACAGTTTACAAAACAATTATGAAAAGGAGCAAGACAACTGCATGTCTGAGTAGCGAGGCATTGGCCGTCGCGCTGTGTGTTGGGGTTGGATGGGGTCTCACCCAGGGCCTGTGTTTCCAGGTTTCTACAGAGTTCTACACTGAGCCCAAGGCGGGTCGGTTGGGGAGGTATTTTAGCCCAGTAAATATAAATGCAAGCTGCACTTCCCAATGAAAGAGATTCGAAAAATATTGCAGCGTTCTCAAGCTGCAGTTCAAAGACGGACCGGGCACGACAGCGTTCCTGAGATCCTTGCAGGAGAGAGGGTAGCAAGACATCGGAGGAAGGTTCTGCAAAAGGTTCCTCCTCCCTCACCATCTCTTCCCTCACCTGCACCACCACCCCTGAGCCAGCGGGTATATGACCGTCTATGTCTGGGAAACTCCCTTCTCCGGGCACCAGCAAAAGATATCTTCAGTTGAAATTGATGTTGAGAGAGGAATTTTTGCCCGTGCGGTCTCCACCTGCTCAGGCTTGCAGGGGTGTGGGCGTGGGGCCGTGTGGGTGTGTTTGGGGGTCTGTGGGGGAAGAGGGAGGGTTGTAGGAGAAGCCTTCCTATTCTCCAGTTCTGAAAAGTAAAACTTAACTCACCTGTTTACAAAATACCAGCCATTGTTTTACCCCAGCTCGCTGTCACCCTGTAGGCTCAGGAGGATTTTGTTGAAGAAAAAAAGAAAAAATGCCTTAAGTGTTGAAACACTTTGGACCGTGCATGCATCCGTCCATGGTGCTGTGGGCTGGTTTTTTTTTTTTTTCTTTTTTTTCTTGTCCCCTCCCTCCCTTCCCTTTTCTTTTTACCAAAGTATATTCATCAAACTGCTGAGTTGGAAAGATTTGTAATGAGTTTCTGAGCTGTACGACTGTGTTTTTTTTTTCCTCTCCCCCCGCCCTCTCCCTCTTTCTAAATCTTCATCTGACATTAAATAAAGCAAATCCCAAACAGATTAACTGTCGCACGGTTCTGCTCCGTCTCCTCAGTCTGTCTCCAGGTCTGGCGGGGGGCCGGGCGGCGGCGGTGGCGGCGGCGGGAGATGCCGGGGCGGCCAGCGGAGGTCCATGTGGCGCTCTAGGTGGGATGCCGGCGTCCTGAAAGCGGAGGCCCTGGCCCTCCTCCCCTGCGGCCTGGGCATGGCGTTCTCCCAGTCCCACGTGATGGCCGCCCGGCGGCACCAGCACAGCCGGCTCATCATCGAGGTGGACGAGTACAGCTCCAACCCCACCCAGGCCTTCACCTTCTACAACATCAACCAGGGCCGCTTCCAGCCACCGCACGTGCAGATGTAAGTTGGGACCGGTAGGGTGGGGGTGGGTGCGTGGTCTTGGGTGCCTCGTGGTTCCAGGTGCCCTGTTAACAAGCACTGCATGTTTGTTGATTGCAACCATTCTGGAATCCTTGGATCATCGGGGGTCTGAGTTGGGAGGGACCCATAAGAAGTCGCAGATGGATGGCCTGTGGGCCGATTCTGGCCGCGGTCCTGTTTTACTTGGCCAGGAGCATGTTTTACAAATATTTAAAGATGAGGTGGATGCACATAAAACTCCAGACTCTGGCTTCACTTTATACAACCCAAAGGCCTGGCCATCCCAGGCCCACATGTCCTCCTGGCGGTGGCTTCTGGGGGATACATGCAAGCTCCCTTTCTTGGCATTTGGGTGGGTGACCCCTGGTCTGATTCACTTTCCTCATTGTACGCGTGGGAGACTGAGCCCCAGAGAGGGGAAGGGGCTTGCACAGGCCCCGTGGCAGGTGAGGACCCCAGTCTTGGGCTGTTTCCCCTCTCCTCCCTTCCTTTTGCCCAGACCCTGTGCTTCTCTTGTGAAAGCAGAGATGCTTTTCCTAAAGGACTGGGGGATTCTGTTGTCTGCCTCTCGGGGCACTAGGGGTGCTCAAGCAGTGAGGCCATGGGGAGCTCACAGACTCGACACCCCCCTGGAGCAGCAGGAGGATTTGTCCTGATGCCTGTGTACAGGGCTGGCCTTTCCCTTCCTGGATTTCCGGAGGTCCTGGAAAGCGGTGCGTGGCTGGGGTGCAGGTGGACGAGCTTCCGGCCCTGCTGTGGGCGGCCCCCTGAGTTCCTAGAGCGGCTATCCTCCTTCATTCGCGTTGCATCTCCCATGAACCCTGCATGACAGAGCTTACCTGGAGGAACCAGGGGCCCAGGCCCGTGAGGTGCCCTGTCCTCTTGGCAGGTGCCAGAGCTGGCCTTGAACACTGGCTTCCTGAGTCCAGCCTGAAGCTGTCCATGCTCAGCCTGCGGCATCCTCGGGCTGTGATGTGTGGGGATGTTCACGCTTCTGCCTGAGTGCAGGGGCCGTTGTCCCCTTGGCGATTGTACCTTCATCCAGCCACTCTGGGTGACCGCCCCCAAGCTGGGTCTGGATCAGGAATGACCCTTGCAGAGCAGGAAGGTCATGGCACAGGGAGACGGGAGCTGTGACAGGGTCCGACCCAGTGCTGTGTGATCTATGGGAAGCATTCTTGACTGCCTGTGGGGCTGGTGCCCCCGCAAAGGTCCAGGCTCTGCGCCACCTCTGGGGCTGTGATCACCGTCTTAGGGCTTGTAGAGTCCCAGATGCTGTCCCTCAGACCACTCAGAGAGGGAGTTGTGGGTGTTTCCAAACCCTGGCCCAGTGAGGTGCTGCCTCCCGCCCCTGTGGGGCCTCCCTCAGGCCCAGCCTCTGTTGTGGGGAGCGGGGGGATACAGGGAAGGGTTTTGCAGGGCTGCAGGCTCTGGGGAGGGGTTCGCCCTCCTTCAGAGGCACTTGCCCAGGTAAATGCTTGTCTCTGTGTTGGAGGCCACAGAACTGGTGTTGCTTGTGGCTGCCTACTTCATTTTTTTGTAGATTTCTTTGGGCAGCTGCCTCTGCTTTTCTGTTTTTGGGGCCTGATTGGCAGGTCTGGGCAGGAAGGAAGGCCCCAGGTCTCAGGCTTGCTGCTCCTCGGTCTGTGGGACTTGAGACCTGGCAGGGGCTGCCAGGAGGGGGTCTTCCCTGGGCTGGGTTTTGTCTTTTGTCAATGAAGGTCATCTTCCAGTGGAGTGGGTCAGAGGTGGCTGAGCCTGAGGTCCGGGAGGCCAGGCTGAACTCCTGACTAGTGGGCAAGGAGAGAGCATCAAGGCCTCCCAGGGCAGGTGGGGTTTGTGAGGGTCCTGGCACCACACACAGTGGTACCATGGACAGCTGTCATTCACAGGGTCCCTGCCTGGGCCTGAGGCACACACTCAGGAAGCCCTTAGTCTGAGAACAGAGCCAAGGAAACAGGAACACATGGAGTGGGGGCCAAGGAGGTGCTTCCCAGATTCAAGGGACCCAGGAAGGACCCCCTGGAGAACTAGGTAATGTCCAGGTTGAGGCCAGAGCAGGAGGAATAGGCATAGTAAGTTGGGAGGGGGTGTGAGGAGGAAGTGGGCCAGGCAGAAGGGGTGGCTGGGTCACAGCTCACAGGTGGCTGAAAGATGGGGGTTTCTGGGCCTGGGGCGGTGGCTCACACCTGTAATCCCAGCACTTTGGTAGGCTGAAGCAGGTGGATTGCCTGAGCTCAGGAGTTCAAGACCAGCCTGGGAAACACAGTGAAACTCTGTCTTTATTAAAATACAAAGAATTAGCCAGGCGTGGTGGCAGACGCCTGTAGCCCCAGCTACTTGGGAGGCTGAGGGAGGAGAATTGCTGGAACATGAGAGGTGGAGGTTGCAGTGAGCCGAGATAGAGATCATGCCACTGCAATCCAGCCTGGGTGAAGGAGCAAAACTCCATCTCAAAGAAAAACGAGAAGAAAAAGAAAAAAAAAGATGGAAGATGGGAGTCTCTGAGAACTGTAGGGAGGCAGGGAGGCCCATCTGGGTCGGGAGTGGGGGCCCTGTGCAGGAGGCAGTGCAGACCCCTGCAGGCCGGGCTTCGTCCTGAGGAAGGGCAGTGAATGACTGAATGAGAGGGGGTGATCACCCCATTTAACTGAGCAACCCAGGGTCATTCATTAGTTTGTTGAGTCATTCGTTTATTCACGAGTTTGGGATGCCTATGAGCTTCTGGGTTTCTCCCTGTTTAGGACCTTGAGCTCTGAGCTTGCCTGCTTGGATGCAATTCATGCCGCTGGGTGCCTCAGTTTCCCCAAGCTAGAGCTGGCTACTCCAGGTGGAGAGAACACATGCTCCCTTGAAACTGCCCCTTCCCGCACCAGCCTCCTTGGATGACGCGTGCTCTCTGCACAGTCTGCACAGCTCGGGGAGCTGGTCCTCACTGCCTGTGAGGTTAGTCCACGCATTCTCAGTGGAGGCAACAGCACCTCCAAGGGGTGAAAACTGGCTCTAGCGGGGTGAAAAAAATGCTGCGCACAGTAATACTGGGGATGAAATGGTTAAATCCACGAAAGAAAGCCTGGGGGCAGCAAGTGTTCAGCATTGGTAGCACACGCCAGGCCTGGTGAGGTCCTTGGGACCCAGCAGTGATCAAAGGCACCCCTGCCTGTGCTGCGATTACATCCAGTGGATGGAAGGCAGTTAGCAGATGGTCTTGAGAGCTTGTGATGCTGGCGGTGGTGAGTGCTGTGGAGAAGGAGCTTAGCTGGGGAGCTGGAGCAAGCCCCACCCCATCCTGGACTGCTCTTCGCCACCACCTCTGGCAGTGGGGAGGGTTCCTGGCTCCCACTGGCTCTGGGGCTCTGAGGCAGCTGGGCTTTGGGTGGTGCCCTGGGAAGAGCGAGCTCTGAGCTCCGGCTTTGAAACAACTTTGCACACAGCTGGGTGAAGCCAGGGTGGGCACAGGGATGAGGCGGCTGCTGCTTCCCACCACCCCTTCATTCACACTCCACACACCAAGCTCGGAAACGTGCAGGCTGCTGGAGGTGGCCGACTGGATTTCCTTGGCGAGTTGGCTGCTCCTTCCCAGGAGCAGGGCAGGGGAGGGCGGGGGACGGCTGCCACTTCCCGACATGTGATTTGTCACCACCCTGGGCTTTGTCACTGGGGTGAGGGAGCGAGAGGCCTTATTTAATAAATCCACAATTTATATTTAATAACAACAGTGACAGTCCAAACATGGCCTCTGATTGAGTCGTGTGATGTATGCAGCTGCCCCAGAGACCCTGCTGGTGATGAGGCCGCCTTCGCTTGGGTAATGAATCTCCAGAGCTGGGCCTCTGGGATGTGAGCCAGAGGTTGAAGACTCCTTGCCCTGGCAACTGAGAAACCCCGCAGGGGTCTCAAGAGGTCCCTCCAGGCCCAGCCCTTCCTCCCTGGGTGGGTAGGTGCAAGAGTGAGTGTTGAGGGACAGGGTCATCCTGGAGGTCTCATGTAGGTCCCTGGGACCGTGGCATCAGGCCCAGCAACTCGTCTCTTACCTTTAAAAGGCGTTATGGCAGTGACTTGGGTCATGGCTTAAAGACTCCACGAGCACCTCAGGCCGCACCGAGTCCTTAAAGCTACGGCAGAGTGGGATGGGGGCACAACTGCGTGTCAGGCCTGGAGTAGCCCCTTTGTGCCTTGTTCCTGGCCCTCCCTGCTTTGCCAGGTTGGCGTGGACCCCCTCTCTACAGATGAGGATGCTGAGGCTTTGGAAGGTGAGTGTGGGGACCTGGGACTCCCACCCAGTGCCATGTGGTCCCTTCGCCCGTCCACACACTGAGAGGCTCCTGCGAGAGACACAGAGCTCAGCCTGGAGTGCAGGGAGGAAGACAAGGGGCCAAGCAGGCGGGTAGGACTCACAGCCCGGCACCACCTGCCTCTCAAGCCTCATTCTCCATCCCTGCCCTGCTGGGCAGCAGATGCAGTGGCTGCTTCCAGTTTCTGGAACATTCCAGTCTTCTTCCTGCCCCAGGGCTTTGCACATGCTGTTCCCTCTGATCCCAACAGTTTGCCCTGTGAGCACTGACTCTGCCTTCAGGTCTCACCCAGGTGTCACTACCTTAGGGAAGTCCTCCCTGCTCCAGCTCTAGGCAATCAGTGCTGGGCTTGGTGGCACATGGCTCAGTCTGTGCAGGCACATTCATCTGTGGGAGGATTTCCCAAGCGTCTCTCCCCTCCCTGAGGATGGGGCTGCATGCCTGGTGCCGAGCACAGGGTACAGGAAGCAGGAGAGAGAAGGGAGTGAGAATGCGACAGGTGTCAAGACCCAGGAGGAGTGTCAGGGATCACGGAGGGCTTTCAGTGGGGGCGGGGGTGGGGGTGGCAGAATCCCTGGGGGTGGAGGACCAGCTGCACTGTGGCCTCCGTGGAGTGGGCCACTTTAGGAAGAGGGTCCAGCAAGAGCAAAAGCCAGGAGGTAGGAAGAAAGGACAGGAGTGGCA